CTGGTGCCACTGCTTACTGCTCCCCACTGCTGGATACGGGCAGGGAAACAGTGAGATGGAAGCCACATGGTTGCCCACTCAGTGGGTTCCCCCGGAGCCTCTGGCAGCCATGAGGCAAAATTGCAGCCCATGCCCCAGCTGGGCATCCGGACTGCAGACAAGCCTGGCAAGATGCCTGGGTGCCATGCAAGACGAGCAACGCTTGGCAGCGCTGGCCAGATTCAGCTGTAGGCTGTGGCTGCTTGACACCACTCTGGAGCAGCACATAGCAAGCAGAGCATACCGTCCAGTTGGGTTGACAGGTGCTTTGCATCCCAGTTTCCCTCAGTGCACATGCTCCCCAAATCCCCCAGTCCCCTGAAAACACCCCTAACTTCCCTGTGCCTCTCTGCAACTCCCTGCACCCACTCCCTCCCTCCTCCACCTCGCATTCCCCAGCACATGAGTGCATTCACACACATAAAAACGCATGTGTGAGTGCATGCACCCCCCCGCAAGTTTTCCCCTCCTACCTGAAATGAGGGTCTACCATCACCCCCACATCTATCTATCCTCAGACCCTGCCATTAATTCTGGCCCCCAGCCCCCATCTGTTCTGCTCCCACATCTCTTCTGCCCCCTCTCTACCCCCCCCCCCCAGTGCCAACTCTGCCCCTCCTGCAGCTCCTGGGGCTCTTCAAGCCCTGTCCCAGGCCGGGGACGGGGGGGCTGCACTAAGGTCCCCCCCCATCATCCCTGCTTCCAGGCCAGGTATTGCAGAGAGGGAGGGGAGAAGCAGAGGAGTTGTCGTGTTGCTCATGGTGGGGGACAAGGGAGCAGAGCCATCCTGAGCTACTGTGAGAACAGTGCTGGTTCCTGAGGGGAGGGAGGAAAGCTCTGCCTGCCTCCTGTAGCAGCCCTGATTGGCTGCCCATACCCAAGAGGTCAGCCAATAAGAGAGGTTTCTCTCCCCAATGCAGTACTAAAAATATGTCTGACCCATTTGGAACCAGTGCACGTTAAACCCTGGTTGAATCGGTCTGGTGCAATGTGCAGCTTTTGAAAATAAAGATTTAGGACTAAGGGTCACTGTTTGCTGTTATTTGTCATGATAGAAAGTTTTATCCTTCTACAGAGGCTGTAAAATCTTCTCCTTCAGAGAAACTCACACAAAATTATCCTCTTTCAAAATAGCCGCCCTCTCTTATTGTTCTCAAGGGGGAATTCAGCCAAGCTGCCCTTTATAGGTATGTCTACACTGCAGTCAAAGACCTGCAGCATGGCTGCGGCTGGCTCAGGTCAGCTGACTCAGGCTGGGGCTATGGGGCTATATAATTGCAGTGTAGAGATTCAGGCTTAGGCTGGAGCCCAAGCTCTGAGACTAGGTGCCACAGGTTTTTTATTGCAGTGTAGACACACCGTAGGTTGTCAGGAGTCAGAGAGTAGTAATGAATGGAGACTGTGGCCAGCTTTGCTAAGGGCAGCCTGTGGACAGCGGTTCTCAAACTGTTGATCAGGACCCCAAAGTGGGTTGAAACCATGTTTTAATGGGGTTGCCAGGGCTGCTGTTAGACTTGCTGGGGTCTGGGGCTGAAACTGAAGCCTGAGCCCCACCGCCTGGGGCCAAAGCCGAAGCCCAAGGGCTTCAGCCTTGGGTGGTGGGGCTCAGGTCACAGGCCCCGGCCACCCAGGGCTGAAGCCCATGGGCTTCAGCTTTGGCCCCCTGCCTGGGGAGGTGTGGCTCTGGCTTTGGCCCTCCTGGCCAGGGTGGTGAGGCTCAGGTGGGCTCAGGCTTCGGTCCCCCGCCCTGAGGTCATGTAGCATTTTTTGTTGTCCGAAGGGGGTCATGGTGCAATGAAGTTTGAGAATTGCTGGATTAGTCCCAGTGAGAACAAAAGGAGATGGCAGCCATTCTGAAATAGAGCAGGGCTTCACGGAACTCTCTGAAAATTATTCTGTTGGAGAAATTTTCATATGAACAATGACGGCAATAAATGACCATGAATCTTAAAAACAAACACAGACACAAAAAAGCCCTTAAAATTTAACTTATATAGAAGATGCCAGTGAGTTTTAACTATAAGGGAAGTTTAAAGAGTCTGCATTATTATGTTACTAAGATCATTTGAATTGAAAAAAGTGAGACACCAAGTGGTAAAATTTCTTAAATGACCCATTATTTAATTAATTTTGACTTGTAAACTAATGAATGGATTTACTAGCAAATTCTCAAAAAAATGATTCCATGTTCAAAACGTAAGTGCTGCAGTTTTGGGGAGGATACACTGTGTTCTTCAGACATGACAATGAGGCTGAATCCTGCTTTAAGTGCAAAATTAGCCTTAATGTCAATCTTAACTATGAGTCCACAACTTGCATCTCCATATTTTACTTGCTGGAGAGGGCTTTATAAAGTAGTTTAGTGCCTGGTCATCTCTGAGTCATCATTCATTTCCTTACCCTCCATTTGTTAATGGATCTACCTTTTCCAATGCTCCTTTTTGTCCTGGTAGCTTTGTAAAATCTCACATTATTCTTCTTAACCTCTCTGGGTACATTAGTTCATTCTTCTTTTCTGCTACCTTCCTCTTTTCCCTGCAGCCGTAACTGACTCTGGGTATCCTTGTTCAGCTTCTTCTGTCTTTCCTGAACAGGTTGATTTTAGACTTAGACCTTTGAGTGACATGGTCCAATTTTTATTTTCCTGAGGAATTTCCATTGTCCTTTTCCCGAGGAATTAGAGTCTGAGATTTTACTATCAAAATAATAGAAATAGGCTGAGGTTAAGAAAGAAAGAAAGAAAGAAAGATTATTTTAAAAATGGACACATATTTTCATGGATATTAAGACCACAAGGGACCACTATGATCATATAGTCTGACCTCCTGCATAATACAGGCCAGAGAATTTCATCCAGTTAAGTCCATAACTACTGATTGGGCTGGAGCAGATCATTTTTAAAGAGACATCCAATCGGGATCTAAAGACTCTAGAAAATGGAGAATCTTCCTCATCCCTTGGCCAGTTGTTCCAATGGTTAATCGTCCTCACTGTTAAAAAAAGATTGTATCTGATTTCTAGTACAAATTTCTCTAGTGCAGCTTCCAGCCATTGGATCTTGTTCTGCCTTTGTTTGCTAGCTTGAAAACTATCAGAAATCTCCTCTTTCGGTTGGTGCTTTTAGGCTATGACCAAGTCACCACTTAACCTTCTCTTGGGTAAAATAAAATTTGAGCTTCTTAATTCTCTCATTGTGAGAGGTTTTCCAGACCCTGAATCATTCTCATGGCTCTTTTCTGAACGGTTTCTAATTTTTTCATCACCCAGCTTCAAGGGTGGATGCCAGAACTGAACACAGTGTCCAGTAATGGTTGCGTCAATGCTGTATACATCCCCCATCCTCCTTGATATCCCTCTGTTTATACATCCAAGGATCATGTTAACCCTTTTAGCCATAGCATTGTACTGGGAGATCATATTCAGCTGATTATTCGCTGTGACTCCTAAGTCCTTTACAAAGTCACTGCTTCCCGTGATACAGTCCCCCATCCTACCAGTGTAACCTACATACTTTGTTCCTAAACAGAGAGAGAGGCAGAAATGCACATAGGTTGGTTTTGTTTAAAAATGTAACCATTTTCATTTAGGCCGTGGGTGTTGCTAGGGTGGGTCACTGCCTGTTCTAATCATTGTTATCCTCCCCCAGCCTCCCTTCTCCCTTGTTGTTTGTTACACTCACTCACTGATCCCTGTCTTAAACTAGATTGCAAACTTTTCAGGGCAAGGACTGCGTTCACTGGCCCTGAGCCTCCTTACTATTCTCTCACAGTCCCCTCTCTGTTTTCAAAGAGCAGATCCAGGGAAACGGAGCTGTTTTCTATGTAACTTAGGAACCCCTTTGATGACGGGCATCTGGCTGTGTGTGTTCCCAGCAGAGACGTAAAGAGTTAAATCCCCACCCTTAACAGAGGGTCCTGTGGCTTTGAGCAGCCAGGTGGGTGGCCAGAGGATTTTATTTTTTTAAGAAGAGGTTAGGTTTGAAAAAATCACAGCACATTCTCTGTATCAAACACTCCACAAATGTGTGCTTCACGCTGTTGTCACCTGTTTCTTTCCCCCGAGCAGGATCTCCGATTTACCAACCTGAGTTGCTTGCTCGGCTAGAACGAGGTGAAGAGGCCTGGATCCCAGATATCCAGAGCTCCGAGGAAAGCTCAGAGGAAGAACCCGTTAGACCCATTCTGAAACAATGGCTGAGGAAAGGAAAATGGTGGGATTACGACAAAGGCCCCATGAGCTCCTCCACTTCTTCCTCATCTCACTCAGGTCAGGCTTGTGCCCATCAGGTACCGTATCCTCATGGCAGAGTCACTCATGGCTTCCCACCCCTCCTGACTGAGACTTGGCTTTAGTTCCCTCCACCTGAGTATTCAGATGGGATGTGAAGGCAGAATTGGTGCCCTCCTCTCTCTCCTCTGGTGAAAAAGTTGGGGGTGGGGAAAATTGGCTCCTAATTTTTCAATCTTCCCAGCGGTTATTTTGTTTGTTCCCCTCTTTCTGAGGTTCCCTTTCCTCCCTTCCCCTCAGCACCGGGACTGACTCCTGTCTGGATTCTCTCTAAAAAAGAACAGAAGTGCTTGTACTTTTTGCGGATACAGACTAACACGGCTGCTACTCTGAAACCTGGATTCTCTCTCTGTCCCAGCAGGTGATGGGATGGTGAGTGAGAAGGAGGAGGAGGATCCTCAACAGGAAGGTGGTGAGATATCATCAGGAAGATCAGAAGGGGATGTCTCTCCAGCCCGTGAGAGTCAGGGCAGGCCAGAGAGGCTGCAAGGAAACCACCCAGAGAAGAGATGGGTTCAATCCACTCACAGTGGGGAAGGTCACAAAAACCTCAACTTTAAAAGCCAGCAAGGAATACAGATGGCACAGAGAAAACATGTATGTATCGAGTGTGAGAAAAGCTTCTGTAGTAGCTCGTCCCTCCTTAGACACCGGAGAACCCACACAGGAGAGAGACCCTATAGATGTCCCGACTGCGGGAAAGGCTTCATCTCCAACTCAAGCCTCATTAGCCATAGGAGAATGCACACAGGGGAGAGACCCTATAAATGCCCTGACTGTGAGAAAGCCTTCATTGCGAACAAGTCCCTCAATAAGCATCGCAAAATCCACAGCAGGGAGAGAGCCTACCAATGCCCTGACAGCGTGGAAACCTTCATCACGAGTGAATCCCTCCAAAAGCATCAAAAGAAACACATGTCAGTGAAACCCCATCAAAGCCCTGAGTGTGGGAAAAGCTACACTGTTCATTCAGCCCTTGTCGTCCATCAGAGAACCCACATGGGACATGAAGCTCATGTATGCCCCAACTGCGGAAGAAGCTTCAGAGACAGCAGGACCCTCATTAGACATCAGAGAATCCATACGGGAGAGAAACCTTATAAATGCTTTGAGTGTGGGAAGTGCTTCCGGGCCAGCTCAACTCTCACTATCCATCAGAGACTCCACACAGGAGAGAAACCTTATGAATGCCCCGAGTGTGGGAAAAGCTTCAGATCAAGCACGGGCCTCACGAAACACCGGAGAACACACGCGCGAGAGAAATTGTCCATGGGACCTCAATCAGGTTGGGCAAAATGAGTAATGCATTTGCCCAATCCCACAAATATGGGCAGGATACAGTCAAATATCTGTCCAGGAGCCAGCCAGCAGCAGCCAACCCCATGCTGACCAGTGACCTCTGACTCTGCCTGGCCTACAAACCCCAGACAAAGAAGGAAATGACTAATCAGCTCCTTGCTGCCAAGTTGCTGGTTCTTCTGCCTCCTGCCAATGTCTGGGAGAAGAGGAGAGAAAGAGTCTCCTTAGACTTGGGTGCTCTCCCTTCCCATGTCCTATTCCTCATCCATGAAGCCAGAGAGACAGAGGGAAGACCACTTAGTTCAGGCCTTTCACTCACTCTGTAGACTTGTCCCTGCCTCTCCATACACTGCGACATCTGGCTGGGCTCCATGACTTACATGGATCCATGTCCTGTGAGAGGGATGTCCCAAAAACGTTGATGCCTTCCCCGCTCCTTTAATTCCCCAGGCAACAGGGTGACTGGAAGAAGAATCTAACTCTAGGAGATGCTGTGCAGAAGCTGGTGTTGTTAGTTGCTCAACGAAGGTGACAGGGAACCAAAGTCCAGCCTGACGGGTTATGAAATGAGAAGAAGTTGGAAACAGACAGACTGGTACTGAACCGGATGTGTTTGGACTAGGAGAACTTTGATTGGGGGGAGGGGTCCTCGGGGTGAGGCCCCCGGTTGGCACAGCAACAAGCTGATGGATTTCAGGAATGGAAGGAAGTGTCCATAATTGGAATCACTGGGTGTGTGCCAAGAGTGGGTAACTCTGAAGGGGTGAAATTGCCTCCTTTCTAGGGGTCACTTAAGGCCAGAGACACAAAAATATTTAGGCACCTAAAAGCCTCGTTAGGCACCACTGACATTTTCAAAACCACTGCTGAGCTTCCACCTAACCCCACAGGCACCTCGGTTTCTGCTGGGGGGAATGAACGAAGTTGGCTATGCACTGATGCTCAAAGCTCATGCCAAAGCTAAAGCCCCAATGGCCACGAAATGGGATTCTCAGATGAGATGTTCCCCCCATCTATCTTGCCAGCATGACCCAATTCCACTGGGATTCTCAGAGCAAACACCAGGACCCGATAGCAAAAGACAGCCAGGTTGTGACTTTTGTGTGTCTCCCCTAGCAATTAGGACACTCACGTAGGAGGTAGGAGACCCAAATTCAAAGTCCTGCTGTGATCTGGAGCAGGGACTTGAACCCATGTTTCCCACATGTGTCCCCTAACCAGGGGGCTATGGCTTTCTCCATCACTCCTGTTAGAGTTGTGCCTCTGTGTATAAATCATTACATATTCATTGGGGGGCTGAGAAAGAACCATCTGGGATACGGGTTCAAGATCCTACTCTAAATGAGACGGAGCAAGGACTTGAACCCAGGGGAGTGCTGTAACCACTGGACTATTGGATGTACTGAAGTTGTGTCTCTCTTCCTCCCCCTTCCCCGCCAGTGCATGGGCTGCTTAGGCAGCTGACCTAGCTCAGGTGCTTAACTCCAGGAGAGGGTTTCATGGCTGAGAATCCAGAGTGGAGTGAGTTCCCTCTCAGATGCACAAGACCCAGATCAATCAGAGTTAGGGAACTTTCCTCTTCATCTCACTCTTGCCTAACTTAGGTGGCTCTCTGCTCAGCCTGTCTGGATTCTGACGATTCCTTCCTTAGGCCTCTACCTCTCCCTGCTCAACACCTGGGGGAGCCTGGGAACCAGGGCTGAGCATGTCACTGGGTGGTGGGGCACCCAGGGGTTAGGCATTGCAACACCTAAGTACCTTTGCAGAGCTGGCCCGCTGTCACCTGCTTGAGCTCAGCCTGTAGATGGAAGAGCTTGAAGAAACCAACATGCTGGAGAAGGAGGGGCTTCTCTATCACGGATCCCAGTATCTGCTGTCACCCACAGGTCCTTCATTTTCCTGACAGGAGTGCCAACCGGACTGGGTGAGAATTGAGAAAGCACCATTCAGAAAGGCTGATCTCAATGGTACCATACGTGGGAGACACTGGGTACGTCTTCACTACCCCCCAGATCGGCGGGTAGCAATCGATCTATCGGGGATCGATTTATCGCGTCCCGTCTAGACACGATAAATTGATCCCCGAACGCGCTCCCCGTGGACTCCGGAACTCCACCAGGGCGAGAGGTGGAAGCAGAGTCGACGGGGGAGCCGCGGCCATCGATCCCGCGCCGTGAGGACGGGAGGTAAGTCGATCTAAGATATGTCGACTTCAGCTACGCTATTCTTGTAGCTGAAGTTGCATATCTTAGATCGATCCCCCCTCCCCAGTGTAGACCAGCCCCTAGAGAAACCTTTGTGGGCAGTGGGAATCCCACCTGACGCCCAGCAGCATTAGCTTCTGAATGTCATTGAACGCTGTTCCCCACCTCGGGTAGTCTCTGAGCATCTCATTTATATTGGTCCCCCACTTAGAGTTGCTAAATAACCTGTCTCATTCCAAGTTATTCTGACAGTGCTCTGCGTTGTTCTTAAGAACTTTTGTTGTGGTTTGTTTTTGGTTTTTTGTACCTTCTCATTTAAAATGTGCCAATCACCAAAGAGACACGTATAAAAGCTTAAACCCACCCAGTGCAATGCTGGCCAAAAGGGCGAATGTGATCTGTGGAGGTGTAAACAAGGGAATCTTGAGGAGGAGTAGGAAGGTTTTATTACCTCTCTATTTGGCAACTGCTGCTGGAATACCGCGTCCAGTTCTGATATCCACAATTCAAGAAGAATGTTGATAAAATGAAGGGTGTTCAGAGAAAAGCCGCAAGATTGAGTAAAGGGTTATCTATTATCAAAGATATAACAAGATCCAATGGCTGGAAGCTGAAGCTAGACAAATTCAGACTGGAAATGAGGCACACATTTTTAACAGTGAGGGTGATCAACTGTTGGAACAATTTACCAAGGTTTGTGATGGATTCTCCATCACTTGAAATGTTTAAATCAAGACTGGTTGTTTTTCTAAAAGATCTGTTTTAGTTCAAACAGGAATTAATTCAGGAAAGGCTTCTGGCCTGTGTTAGGCAGGTCAGTCTAGATGATCACAATGGTTCCTTCTGGCCTTGGAAATTATTAATCAAGGTTTTTCTGTTTCCTGAAGGTTGTTTGGTCAGATACTCTGATTTTTATTTATGTATTATTATTTTTTTTGCTTTGTCTGGATATAGCACCAGCGAATTTGGATTTTAGTCTTACAAATTGTCATTTGTCCCATAATAATTTCTTTTCATAATTTTTTTCCTCTCATTTAGTCCTTATAATTTTTCAGTTCAAAATGCAATGTTCTGAACTGGCTTCTGGGCAATACTTTATTTGTGGTTTTCTTGCCTTGAATAAAATTAACTGAGTTCCCCAGAATCCAGAGCTCTTTATCTAGTGAGAACCTGAGTAAACATATTTCTTTAATGGGGCAAGATGGGGCCGCCAGCAAAGTCTCTTTATAAGGGTTTATAGGTTACACTTTACAAAGCCACTGAGTGTGTATAATTCCCATTTTTGCCCCTTCTCTAAAATAAATAAAAATAGCCAGATTGGCCTGAAATTTGGTAAGTCAAATCTCTCTGAGTTGAAATACCAGCTCTTAGCACTCTCATCTGAACTGAGCCTTTTCATCTCATCTCATCCAAGAAAGGAAACAGAAGAAACAAGACAATTGAGGCTCTGTTTACACTTATGGTAGCGTGTAGAGTACAGGTACTATGCATATTGCTACACACTGCAGTGAAAGGTAGGCTGCATCTGCATTTCTCACCATGGTGTGCAGCTCTGTCATAGGGGAGGCAGTGGTGAAAGGTTCTCGCAATGGGAAGCTGTAACTCTATAGGCACCTAAACTCAATTGGCCCCTAATTTTTTTCACTAAACGTTCCCGTGGTGCCCATGTTTCCACCTCTAGGCATGTGCACAGTTACAGGTCTATCTGATCCTCTCTTGCTCTACTGTAGATTTTATTATAGCTAGTAAAGTTTGAGCTCTGATTGATGCTTTCCCCACAGTCCAGGAACCATTAGAAAAGGGATAGAAAATATCCTAATACCACTATATAAATCCATGATATGCCCACAGCTGGAATATGGTGTGTAATTCTGGTAGCCCCATCTCAAAAGAGATATATTAGAATTGGAAAAGGTACAGAGAAGGGCAACAGAAATTATTAGGGGTATGGAACAGCTTCCATATGAGAAGAGATTAGTAAGACACGGACTGTTCAGCTTGGAAAAGAGGCGTCTAAGGGGGAATATGATAGAGGTCTATAGAATCATGACTGGTGTGGAGAAAGCAAATAAGGAAGTGTTATTTACCCCTTCTCATAACACAAGAAGTAGGGGTCACCCAATGAAATTAATAGGCTGAATGTTTAAAACAAACAAACACACAACACACAGTCTTCAAACAACACATAGGCAACCCTTGGAACTTGTTGCCAGGGGATGTTGTGAAGGCCAAAAGTATAATTGGGTTCAAAAAAAGAATTAATTAAGTTCTTGGAGGATAGGTCCATCAATGGCACAACCTCATACACTGGGTGTCCCTACACCTCTAACTGCCAGGACAGCTGAGACTAGATGACAGATGATGGATCACTTGATAATTGCCCTGCACTGTTCATTCCCTCTGGGGCATCTGGCATTGGCCACTGTCGGAAGACAGGATACTGGGCAGATGGCCATTGGTCTGACCCAGTCTGTCCATATGTTCTTAATATAGGGAGTCTCTCCCATGTGGTGTCTCTGATACCAAAGAAGGGTTGAGCTCTGACACTTGATACATTTTTTAGTTTTTGCTGATCCATGATTTCCTGAAGGTCCTTGAAACTTCCTCACAGTGAGTGGATTTGCACCAATTCTTCCCTGGGTGATTTTTCTGATGCTTTCTTGCATTGACACTTGCAAGTGGGTCTTCCCCACAATGCCCCATGTTGTTCCACTTGCTCAGGGCTTTTCCGCTGAGGATTTTCCTGAGAACTCATTGTCTCATCTTGCCTTCTGGGTGTGAGAGAGAATCCAGACA